AGAGTGAGACTGTCTAAAAAAAAAAAAAAAAAAGAAAGCTGTCAGTGGTGTGTAAATGGGAAGTGGCAGTGCTGCTGCCATCTGGTCAAGATATCCTGATTCGATGGTGGAAAAGGATGGCAGGAAGGAGGTCAGCCTGGTGCAGGCCTCCACTATCATGGCACCCTCGCATGCTCTCAACAACAGAAACTGTGGCCAAGCATGGTGGCTCATGCCTGTATTCCCAGCACTTTGGGAGGTCGAGGCAGGTGGATCATGAGGTCAGGAGTTTGAGACCAGCCTGGCCAACATGGTGAACCCTCATCTTTACCAAAAATACAAAAATTAGCCAGGTGTGGTGGTGCGCACCTGTAATCCTAGCTACTTAGGAGGCTGAGGCAGAACTGCTTGAACCAGGGAGGCAGACAGTTTCAGTGAGCCGAGATCAGACCACTGCACTCTAGCCTGGTCGAGAGCAAGACTCTGTCTCAAAAACAAAAAAAAAACAAAACAAACAAAAAAAAAACCCGAAAAACCCCAAGGTGGGAAATTTAGTAAGTGGGGACCTCAGGAAGTGCCCCACCCACGGTGTCTCTCTGTCTAGTTTCTGCTGCTGCATCCCGAGGACAGGATAGCTCACCCGAAGTGTCTATCACGATGCCACCTGCTTCTCTGATGATGACTGTGGCAGCCGCCAGGTCCCAGCAGTGCAGGCCAAACTGGTAATAGGCATCCGCAGCCCCTGAGGCCAGGTGGCAGAGGGCCAATGTGGAGCTTCCGATCACTCGGACCCTGGGGAGAGGGAGGGGAGGACAGATGCAGGTGGGAGTAGAGCTTTTGCTGTGGTTTGCAAGCTGACTTCAGTCATGTACCCCGGCTGAGCATGTCCCCTAGTGAAAAATGAGGCATAGCTCTGCCACCAAAGCTCTGGAGGCAGAATGTAGGGCCTGGAGCCGCCCACCAACAGGAGGACACAGCCAGACACAAATGTTCTGTGCCGTGACAGCTCCCAGCCAACCTGGCTACTGAGCACCTGAGATGCAGCAACCAGAGAACTGAATCCTTCCTCTACTGAACATGACATTAAGTGTCAGTGGCCTCACACGGCTAGGGGTCACAGCACAGCCCTACTGGGAAGGCGAGTGACAAAGAGGATTCATTGGGCTTCAATAAACCTGTCTGATGCCAAGTCCACTTGGGAAGGACTTTAAGTACTTGCACCATTCGCTGGCTGAGCTGCATGAGGTCAGTTCCATGGATTCTGATCAGAAGGGACACAGGTGCCCACCCATGTCCAGAGGCCTGGCTATTTAGGAGCATCTACTTCGGGCAGGTGCCTCACGGGGCTTGCCTGAGCCTGGTGTTCATGTGCCCCTCCCACTTCTTCCATTCCAGGCTTCCTCCTCAAATCCCGAAGGAGTTTTAGCAAGCCCACATTCCGTTCTTCCTCCTCTGGCCGCAGGGTGTTCCCTGAACTGAACATCGTACCCATGTGCCTTGGCATGCAGCAGCTGCTCCATGTTACTCAGGAACAGCTTCAGGGTCGCAGGGTCACGCCTGGGGCCAATTTCTGTCAGAACCAAGGCCTTTGAGAGATCTGTAAAAAAAAAATAAATTTCCTATCACCAGAAAAATCAAGTCTTGGTTCTAACTAAGGAGTGCAGACTTCAAATGTGCCTTTCTTTCTCATAGTAAGTATCATCTTTCGAGCGGTTCATGCTGAATGCTTTTCTGATAGCTATGTTGAAAAGTAAGGATGGGCCCAGCGCAGTAGATCATGCCTATAATCCTAGCACTTTGGGGGGCTAAGGAAGGAGGATCACCTGAGGCCATGAGTTTCAGACCAGCCTGGGCAAGATGGTGAGACTCCATCTCTACCAAAAAAATTAAAAATAGCTAGGCATGGTGGCACTCGCCTGTAGTTGCAGCTAATGAGGAGGCTGAGGTGGGAGGATTGCTTGTGCCCAGTAGTTCTAGGCTGCTGTGAGTCATGATTGCACCAGTGCATTCCAACCTGGCAGGGATGGAGTATGGCCCTGTTTCTTTAAAAAAAAAAAAAAAAAAAAAAAGAACAAAAAAAATCACCATCATTCAATCAAAAAGAAGAAGAAAATGACTCTAAACTGGGAATACTCAATGCTCAGAGGGGGAAAATACCTCATCAATCATCTAGCTGCTGCGATCACTAAGATGGAAATATCATTTTCTTGGAGAAAACAACTTTTAAATAATGCCGCTTTGGAAAGGGAGGCTGCAGGAATGAGCTCTCTGGAATTCATGGCCTGCCATTTATGTAACAGTGGGCGAGGCTGTCAGGGCTGGCAAGCCTGACTCAGGGTGGGACGTGACTGGGATTCTGCTCCTGTCCCTGACTCACTGCTGGGGATCCGAGCAGTTTGTGCTGGCTGTGCCACACACCCAAACACAGCAAAACCCCGGTCATGTCCCATCAGGCCTCAATGCTCGGGCAGGACATAGCCAAACCAGGTGTGCTCAAGGACAAAAAAAAGTCACTCAGCAAGTCGGGAGTAAACAGCTTCTATCACATTACTTCACTAATGGGCTCAGTTCTGTGTCACCACTTCCAAATCCTCCTCTCACCCAGGAAGTCTCTCAGCCAGAATCCAAGTCCAAGTGCCCCTTTTCTTCTATGGAGCTCTCATTCTACACCTTAAAAATACTTCCTGCAAAACACCTGGCTCCACACCAAACCAACCCGCCCTCAAGAGGTCCAGATCGATCATTGCTAGCCACGCCCAGCACTGAAGCTGAGCTATGACGCACTCCTGGCCTGGGACTGGGCAACAGGCCCTCCACAGATACCACCCGAGCCCTACAGCTGCCACCTACAGCTCAGTGGCTGCTCCAGGTGCTCTTTAATCCATGCAGGATCTGCAGACAGCCTCCAGCTAACCCCTCCATCCCTTACCCTCCAAATCCCACCCTCACCTGGCCACAAACAGAGATGGTGTTTTTTCCAGGGGGTAAAAAAAGAAAAGCTTCTATTGAAGAAAAAGACATCAGCAGGCCAAGGCTGAGTGGGCACTCAATAAACAGTTACTGAATGAATGAGTGTGTTCCTTCAAATGCCAGAACTCAAGAAGGTAGGATTAGAGTCTTTGTTGTGGTTTGGTTCATTAAATTACTAAGATTTTAGTTTATGGGAGAAATGTTTGGGTCAGTAGAATTTTGTTGGCTAATCTAAGAATCTAAATAGTATATACAATACTAATTTTGGGCAAAGTAATACTGAATTACAAATATTTTAGTTAAAAATGCTCTTTTGGGCCAGCCAAACAAAAGGTGGCTCACATCTATAATCACAGCACTTTGGAAGGCTGAGGCGGGCGGATTACCTGAAGTCAAGAGTTCAAGACCAGACTGACCAACATAGAGAAACCCCATCTCTACTAAAAATACAAAACTAGCCGGCATAGTGGCGGACACCTGTAATCCTAGCTACTCAAGAAGCTGTGGCAGGAGAATCACTTGAACCTGGGAGACAGACGATGCAGTGAGCCAGGATCACACCACTGCACTCCAGCCTGGATGACAGAGGGAGACTGTGTCTCAAAACAACAATAATGGACACCTCTACACATCTGTTAGAATGGACAAACAGTGCTAACTACAACAAGCACTGCCAAAGATGCAGACCAACAGGAACTCTCATCCATGGCTGGTGGAAATGCAAAACTTCAGAGGATAACTTGGCAGTTTCTTACAAATCTAAACATACTCTTAGGTACAGCACAGCAATCGTGCTCCTTATTCACCCAAGGAGTGGAAAACTTATGTTTTTCACATAAAAACTTTCACACCGGTGTTGAGAGCAGGTTTATTCGTAACTGCCAACACTTAGAGGCAAGCAGGGTGTCCTTTAGCAGGGAGAGAGGGAAGAGGGAGGAAGAGGGCAAGGGGGGGATAAGAGGAAGGGAGGAAAATGAAAGGGAAGGAGAAAAGGAAAAAATGGGATGGCTTGCACGTTACTTTAGACAGGAAATCAAGGAAGAATGAATTGTCCCAGAGGAGGCCATAGGGGACGAGAAAGTGCAGTGGCAATGATATCCTGTCCAATCCTGCCCTATTTCTAATTTACTCATCTAACTTCAAATCTTACACATGTGCATACACCTATGCAAACACAGTGATTTTTTCTTTTCTTTTTTTTTTTTTAAGACAGAGTCTCGCTCCATCACCCAGGCTGGAGTGCAATGGCGCCATCTTAGCTCATTGCAACCTCTGTCTCCCGGGTTCAAGCAATTCTCTTCTCTCAGCCTCCCAAGTAGCTAGGATTACAGGCGCCCACCACCACACCTGGCTAACTTTTGTATTTTTAGTAGACACAGGGTTTCACCATACTGGGAAGGCTGGCCTCAAACACCTGACCTCAGATGATCAACCCACCTTGCACAGTGCTTCTTAAAAACAGTTTTATAGGTTATTCTGTTGCTTGCTCTTTCAATATAAAAACATCTCATACATCTTCTGCCGTCAGTCTCTCACTCTTAACAGCTGCACTCTATTCCATCCAGTGCAACAACCGCAATTGATGTCAACGTTCCCCTGAAGACGAACATTTTCCATTTTTACTATAAACAATGCGGTCAGAAATATCTTTTCTATAGAGGTATATACAGTCATACTGATTTTTTTTCAAGAGAGATTAACACAGTGGGATTTCTGAGTCAAAGCGTGTCTATATTTTAGGTTTTGATATAATTTTCCAAATTACCCTCTGGAGAAGCTGAATCAATTGCACATACGCCCCCCTCAACCCCACAGGGCTCTGAGGGATCCTGTGCTATTTCCAAGTCCCTAACAGGCAGGCTCACTCTGGAGATACACTCTACGAGTGATTTTCTCTGAGCAGTAAAGACAGTGAAATCCTAACACACAGGGCATTTCCTGGCACCAGTGTTAATGACCCTGGGAAGAGATGAAGGAAGATACTGAAGATTTCCCCCCGGAACTAGGAGCTGAACAGCCAATTTCCACTGGGAGATAAGCACCTACTCTTAAAGGCCTCACCCAGTCTCCCCACACCTGAGGGCAGAGATGAGCACAGGGTGGGTGAGCAGAGGAAAGTCACCTGGTGCCAGCCTAGACAGGCAGGCACTCCCCATGCCAGGGCTGGTGCAGGAAGGGTAGAGATCTTCCAACAAAGTGCCTTGGGGTATTTCACAAAGGGAAGTTAATTCGTGTGTAGGAAACAGAAATTTTTCACTTGTTCACACGGTGACTAGGCCCACAGTCTTCCCGACGGGCCTGTGTGAGCACTTCCCAACCTCCTGTGCAACAGATGAGGAACCCAAGCTTGGAGAAGTGACATGAGTTGCTCAGGCCACGGAGCTCTTACATGGTGGGGCCAGACTTGTCTGCTGATTTTGTGAAGGCAGGAGTTTATTCCATACTTTCCCAGTTTGTGAAAAGATTGCTCTGAATCTAGCACCTTCCTCTTCTGGCCTCCCTGCATTAATTCCTTCTCATTGTTGCCAACATACGTTTTCCCAAATGAAATCAAGAGCAGAGTATAAGCTGGGTGGAGTGGCTCAAGCCTCTAATCCCAGCACTTTAGGAGGCCAAAGCAGGCGGTTCATTTAAGGCCAGGAGTACAAGACCAGCCTGGACAACATAGGGAAACCCCATCACTACTAAAAATACACACATACACACACACAATTAGCCAGGTGTGGTGGCACACATTTGTAATCCAAGATACCGGAGAGGCTAAAGCACAAGAATTGCTTGAACCCGGAAAGCAGAGGTTGCAGTGAGCCAAGATCATGCCACTGTACTCCATCCTGGGCAACTGAGCCTGAATGTCGGGAAAAAAAAAAAAGAACAGTATAAAGAGAACAGAATGTAAAGAAGGTCTGAATGTTGTCCTCTAAAGGCAAAATGCTTTCTGCCATTTTATTTTGCCCCAGATAAGGGGGGAAAAACTTATGACAACCCCTACTTAATTCTGTCTTATATTATGATTATTTCTGACTAGTTAACCACAACTACTATGATTTTTGTACTGCATTACCCTTTGTCCTATATTTACTATATTTTAGGTATTAAACGCTAATATATATCTTTTTAATTTCAAATATTCTGTGATTTCATGTGTGGCAGGGAACAGGGAGTTACTGCTTAATAGAGTTCTTTTTGGCAACAAACATTTGGGAAATATATAGTGCTGATGATTATATAACATTGTGACTATAATTAATGTCATTGAATTAGGTATGCTTAATAATTAGAATGGAAAATTTTATTTACATACATTTTACTACAATAAAACTAGTAGATTTTGAAATAGGTCATCTCTGTATATTCTTTCAATAAACAGATTTTAGAATGAAAACGAATAGTTGGTGACTTCCGACCGTTTGGAAACCCTTGCTCTGGTTGGGCAATGCTAAATTAGAATACCAGGGTGTCAAAGAATATGCTGTCTTAAAAGAAGCTTTACAACTCAAATGATGAGAGAAGTAATTTGTGAACACTGCAATACATACTCATGAGCTGGGCATGGTGGCTCATGCCTGTAATCCCAGCAATCCGGGAGGCTGAGGTAGGCCGATCACTTTGAGGTCAGGACTTCAA